TGCCAACAACTCCATGTGCGGCCTTTGGGCTGTTTGGTTTTCAGAACGAGCATTCTTGCTGCATTGTCGTGGAAAACGAAGGCAAAGCTTCGCATCTCCACGCTCCGACTGGGGCGCTTGCCAGCATGATTGGTTGTGCCACACAGACTTTTGCCAGTCATTTTCCAAATGGCAAAGAGGTCCAGCGAATGCTGTTGTGACGCTGTCAAACACACTGAAAAACGCCGAACCTTGTACCAGCGAAACAAGTGAACTGGTAAAGTAAAGTCGCTACATGTTGTTTCCGGTTTTCACGCATGCACGGCCACAATCTTAATTCCTTTGCCGGTGTTGTCGTCGTGTCCTGTCTGTCGTTTGTTGCGGTTACTCTTGCTGAGCATAGAGATCGGTGCGTGTGTCGTCGAAAAGCCGAGACTGCTGACGCACACACCCGATTACGTTGTAAAATGTAATGTACAACGCTGTTCACGCTATTCGGTTGTGCTTTGCAGCACCTGGTGGTCGCGAGTTATTGCAATGGAACCTTGCTTGTACATGTCCCGCCGTTGTGAGCATTCTCATCGGATCAAGTTCAACATGCCAGCTTCCAAGCATTGAAATCTCGTTCGTGAGTGATCGCTCACAGTCAAGCAAAGATTTCACAGGTGACCGGTTGTGACATCATTCCTTCATCGAGTGCACTGCCGGCCATGGATGTCAGTTCAAATATCGCAAGAGCAACAGTTCAAACGATGCACGCCGCCAGCATGAACGCACAACATGATTGGGATGCACGCACCTCCAGTCCCAAACATTCATACAACTGTAATCGCCCGTAGGCGAACCTTGCAGATGGCTGCGGCTTCTCGGTTGAGAGTCCATGCCCTGCCCAGGCCATGCCAAGCGCTGTGAGGTTTCATGTGACGAGACGCCATGGAGTCGAGAATGTCAAGCCAGTTCGTTCAGCACATTGGAAACTTCAAGCCTTAGCCGCCTTAGCCTTAGCAGCAACTCGTTGGTTCTTGTGTGAATGAGGCTTCCGAGCTTGGTAAACCGTGGAGATGGAAGCCGAAACTGCTCTTTGGCGCAGGCTCCGCTGTCCTGAGTTTTTCCCACTGGGGCTTTGTGTTGGTGGCGTCGTGGCATGTCGTGGCTCAGGGGCTGCGGGGCAGGGCAGGCTTTTCAGGGATTTCCGTGCATTGTTTTCGGCATGCAAGCCAAGCATAGGGTTCCCGCTGCAGCTCCGAAGTCGGTCACGACGGATTTGCTTGATGTTGGCGACCGCAGAAAGTTTGCTGCCTGTAGATCTTTTTCAGGAGTGTCCACAAGATGTTCGGAAGGGCCAGTTTTTCGAAGCGCTTGGAATGCAGTGGTCCGATCGACGTGCTGTATCACGACAGACCTGTGCAACGAGCTCAGACGAAACGCTTATCAAACATCGAAGGTAAAGACTTAGACTCAAGCAAAGCCTCAGTGAGGTCCTATGACTGTGTGACCTGTTTCGCCAAAGTTGCAACGAGTCTACAAGAACTGAGGTTGAACTTAGAGCTGTGGGACCGATCTGCGACAACAGTAAGCTCACACAGGCAACTGCTGAGCAGCCGCAGCAGGAGCAGGTGGGCATGGGCGGGCATGACTGAGTGAATCCGAGAAGACACCGGTAAAGCGGCAGAACTCTTGGGTATGTCTTGGCCCAGAGCAGAGTAGATTGAAGTGTTGCCATGGAGATGGGTGTCCATACCAGCCATACCACGAACCTGTTTGCATTGTTGCAGCTCCGCCACGTGCAGGCATTGCAGGCCAATGGTTTGAGACGCTGCTTCCAAAGGAGCCGCTCCTGGGTGGATCGATTTGAGGTGACATCTGTGTTGAATGGCCACAGGGGCTGCGTGAATACCGTCCGCTGGTCCTCAGATGGTGAGATTTTGGTAAGTGGGAGCGATGACATGATGGTTCATCTTTGGAGGCTGGGCCCACATCTTTCCGGCCATGCAACTCGCCCGTCGGCCTGTCTTCCAACATTGCACCGGCACAACATTTTTGACGCCATCATGACTGGCGACAAGCAGAGCATTGTGTCTTGCGGGGCTGACGGCTATGTTTGCCTTACAGATATCTACAGTGGACAAAAGATGAAACTGTTCGAACCTGACAGAGGCCACTTTTTTGCATTTAAAATCGCCACTTTGCCGGATTCTTTGGGTCGCACCTTCTTTGTCAGTTGCAGCGATGGCTGTGTTCGCCGCTTTGATTTGCGAGAGGATGACCATGCCATCGCCGTCAACACGGGTGGAATCGGATTGGCAGGACTGTCAGTGAATCCCGCTAGAACTAACACTATCGCAGTGGGTGGCAACGATCCGTTCTTGCGGATTTATGATATTCGCACCTTACGTATGCATCTTGAGCCAGGTGCTGCAACAGACATGCCGTTGACTCCAGCGGTCTCGCTACATTCAACGGAGAACATGATTCGAAAACAGCGCTACGGCATGGCGTCAAGTTTGTTCTCTCGATCAGAGGTGGGCATTTCTGGAGTTTGCTGGAGCAGTTCTGGCCAGTCCCTTCTGGCCAATTATCGAGGTGGCGAAATCGAGCTTTTTGACGTAGGACCAAGCGCAACTAGTGAGACCGATGTCGCATTGGCTGAGAAGACGACACACATCTCGCTACCAAGCGAAGCATGCAGCGCAGTGACCTTGCCGGCATCCTCTGTTCTCCTAAGCTCACGACGGTCATTTGAGGGTAGGCCCAACGAAGAAACTTGTGCAAAAGAAGTTCAATTTCTGTGTGGTGAAGCTGCAGTGGGCAGCGGAGGAGACTGTGGCAATTTCTATGTGTGGGATGTGTCCTCAGGCGGGTTGCTCAAGAAGCTCAGAGCAGATCGACACATTGTAAATTGTGTGGCACCACATCCAACATGGCCATTGGTCGCCACATCAGGAATCGATTCGGAAATCAAGGTCTTTGATGTTGCGGATGTGAAGGTGAATGTGCCAAGAAGCGGCTCCTTTAGCGGCATCACGTCTCAGTCTCAGGAAGCTCAGGAGACTGGCTCTGGGACTTCGCCCTCGCCCTCAGACTCAGACCCATCCCTCGAGCTACCAGCGACTCGGCATGCGGAGACGGAGTTCGCATAAAGCTATTCCAATTCAAATTCATATTGATTCGTAGTCCATGTCCGCTTCGTTTTCTGTCACATCTCAGGAACGTGCTGATGTGGCCTTGCAGGAGGCGGCAGTGGAAGAAGCGACGGCCTTCAGACGACAAGGCAACGAAGCAGTCGGGCAAGCAGACTGGATCTCAGCGCTGGGATTCTACGACCAGGCCCTGCAGCGCCTGCGCTTCGCACAAGGCGGTACGTTGCGCAGTGAGACGGAGAGTTTAGAGCTTGATGTGCGGCTACGCTGCGCGTTCTGCAGCTTGAATCTGGAAGAATTTGATTCCGCCGTTGTGCACTGCAACCGTGTGATCCAACTCGATGCGTACAATACGCAAGCATTCTGCAGACGAGCAGTTGCGCATGGTGGGCTGCTTGACTTCGCTGCAGCATACTCCGACATAGACGCTGCTGCAAGCCTGGCTCCGGAAGACTCTGACATCGCCCGCATACGGTCAAGGTTGAAAAAGCACGAGAAGCGCCAATTGAAAGGTTGGCGCCGATAAGTGCAGAGCTGGAAAGAGTAATTCTTCGGACAAACACCGTGCTGCGGAACGCATGACGCCTGGCTTCGTGCGTGATGGAGAGTCATACTTTGGTGTTCAACCTGCTGAAGACGCCGCCCGCCCGCCCGCCCGCCCGCCCGCCCGCCCGCCCGCCCGCAGCAATCCAACAATACGTCCATGTGAACTGCCATAAGCGGCTGCTGCGCAGCAACCCTGATCACCGGGTTTGGAAAGCATGCTTTGTCATTGACATGGCGCGTAGCCGCACCATGTCGCAGCAGGTTCATGTGACAATTTGGGTTCGAGCTCACCTCTGCCAGTGAGCTTGTGGTGGCAACGTATGCCTGCAAGATGTCCAAAGGCAGTACCCAGGTATTAATGCTTCGGGTCCCTTGTGATGAGCATAGTCTGCGACCACATGGTTTGAAAAAGCCGAACATTGCATGCTGGATGCAGGGTCTAGGTTGGATTATGCCGTGAAGGCAATTTTTAGTTCCAGTCTCAGCGAGTTGGAAACAGCGAAGCATGCATTCCTACTTTGCGCAGGCACTGCATCTTCTTCGCAACCTGGAAGACAGGTCCTGCTCAGCCGCGGGAAGTGCTTTTGGCCGACTCATCTGGACAAGATTGTGACTCACCATGTCGGAGCGTGTTGTAGAGTCTTTCGGGAGGCATTTGGCTGGTTGGCACACATTGAGCTGTCTCTACTCGTCCGGGTTTTGAGTGCCAGTACGGGAATATCTCAGAGCAGAGATGTTGGGGGAGGAACGAAGCTTGAAAGAGGCGGCTGGTGCTTGAAGCGCTGGTGCCGCAGAAGGCGGGCCCGGCTTGCTTGCAGTGCAAAGTACCAAAGCAGCACATCAACAAGAGAATACGGCACATCCTACGTAGTCTCCGATGCACGCGCCGTGATGGCTCACAGAATTGAGGTCGTGTTTCGAACACAGGGTTTGCGCCGTTTCATGTTGTTAGGCATACTTGAATCCCCTTCACCGTTCCCTAATTCTGTAAGCAGCTAGGTCACTGTCACTCGAGGATGCATGTGGCGCTTTACAGGTATGTCATTGCCAGTCTTTGACGGTTTCAGCCCCGACACCCGGCGCTTGCTCATGCATCTGCGGAACCATGACAGTCCAAGTCTTCATGGTTTTGCTCCAATGCTGCCTTTGGGTTTCCCTGGGCAAACCTGCTCTGAAGGTGGTGCCAAACGGACCTCCTATGCCACACATGCCCAAGGGCACGACTGCCACCAGACAGGAGGTAAAATCGGAGGGGAGAGAGAAGTCCGCTGCGATCGACGACCTGACTGCACCCAAGCATGCTGACCATGCTGAAGCAACTTCACAGAAACCCTCAACGGGGTCCAGCTTGAGCTTGCCCTGTGAGGACGTTTATTTATTCCACAGCCAAGTAAAGAGATCTCCTGTACTGATGTACACGTCTCACATTAGCACGTGGCTGGCGAAGAGCCCTCACCAAGCAGGCGTTGCAACTGTTGCTGTCGTTATCGGTCTTCTTTGTGCATGGAACGGCCCGCGTGTTTGGCAGGCGCTTGTCATTGCAGCGTCCTCTTTGATTGTCGCATGGCTTGTCCATTTTGAAGCAGTTCTCAAGAACCTTGTGCCGAGCCTCTTTGCAGAGCTTGTGCTAACGCTTGCAGCAGCCAGTGCAGTGGCATTGGCTGTGCACACTGGCTTCGAAGGCTCCCAAGTTCTAGTCGGTGCTTTTGCAGGCTTTGCTGCTGCTTCATACTGCTCAGATTGGGCACATACCGTTGATGACCACATTGCCGGGGCTGCACTTCTCTGGTATTGCTTCGGGGGGGCCTTTGGCACATGGATTCTACTTGCCTGGAGAAGGGAACTTCTCTCCACTGTTGCGCCGCTGTTCGGAAGCTTCTTAGTGGTGTCGGGATCCGGCAGCTTGCTGTCACGAGCGGTTAGTTTGCCATGTTTGCCACAAAGGGGCGTGTGGTCAGTGGATGCCTTGGTACTACTGGGACCAGCCGGGACACACGCGTTGGCATGGCATATGCTCTGCATACTTCTAGCTGTGTCCTGTCAGCGCAGTGGTCGTCCTGTCCTTGCGTTGTCCTCTTTGATCGCATTTACCAGCTTGGTAGCTCTGGGAGCTTTGCTGGCTGGAATTCAATGTCACACAAAAGACAGACGTGCGGATGGCACTCGCTGCCCAGCATTTCTGGCTGTTCCCGACAATTGGCAGTGGCAGCTTTCAGGGTGCACAGCCTGGGTCATGTTGACATTGGTCTCTGGGTGGAAGCAAATCGTCAGCAGCCCTCCAACTTCAGGTGCAGAACAAGGTAGGGGAATACTTGATTCTCGTGCCCGTGGAATCTATGTGCCTGTGGAAGAGGTCTCGACTGAAGATGGTCTTGCTTCTGACAAAGTAGACCCACTCAAGACTCTGTTGCCCTCTCAGCAAAGCGCCCATGGAAGCCCAGGGCTTGAGAAGCCTCTAACGCTTTCTGGCTTTGTGCACTCAGTTCATGCACGGCGACTGGGCGGGGGCCCCTAGGCCTAGAAGGATTTCGATCGGGGTCCACAAGCGGCCCGAAGTTGCCTGCGGGCCAAAGTGCCACTGCACTACACACTTGCACACCAAACAATTTCATACCAACAGATCACTGCTGCACTCGTATAGCTAATGCTGACGCTCGTAGAGAGTAGTCCCCAAGTGCCACCTTTCGCATCTCCAGGCAGCGAAGGCCGTTGCGCCTCAGTTTCAGATCAGTATTGGTGATTCGATGGGAGCGGCAACGGCCTTTCGCAGCTGCGAGGCAGAGGGCTTTTCAACTGAGAGAGACGCAGATAGAGTGTGTCTGTCAACGCCATGTTAAACAACTGGCTCGCGATGCTGGCAGGCTGCAGGAGCACCGATGCCGGCTTTCTACGGGGCAGTATTGCTGATGAGGCCAGTGCAGTGACAAGAGTCGCCTGATTTTCAGATGCTCCACTTCTCGGACTTGTGGGGGCACGAGTCAATGCACCTGTCCTTTGGACTGTGAAGCTGGGAGACTGAGAGATCCATGGCGAAAGCGGACTCGGGGTGCCAGAAGGACTAGGGACATCTATCCTGTTTTCTTCAATCAAGGCGGTGTAGGCAGGATCCAGCGAAAACGAAAAAGGGAGGCTTTTCGTTTGGACGTGAGACTGGCCAGGCCATTCTCTTGGGCTGTTCTGTCGTCCTAACAAGTCAAGAATGAAACACGTGAATCAACTCCACACCGAGTCAGTTGTTCATTCGGATAATTTGCTTGTCTAGGGATCGTGTGACATCAATGCGTATGTTTCCATGTTCCCATGCTGGTCGGTGCAGTTGGGCATCTGAGTGATGATTTAAGACGAGATCCAGGGACTCGCGCTAGTCCGCTAGTCTCTTTGGTGATTTTTTTTGCCATTATGGTCACTTGTAGGGTTGCTATTAGCATGTCGTCCAGCTCCTTCTCGTCCTCGTCCTCGTTCTCGTCCTCGTCCTCATCCTCACCCTCGTCCTCTTCCTCATCCTCATCCTCATCTTCATCGTCGTCGTCATCATCAACATCATCGTCATCGTCATTGTGGGTGGATGGTTGAGGGCCCAGCTCAATAACATTATCGACAAGACACGCGCTTTTCTTTTTCGGGAAGTTGTGGCGGGTGGGGCAATGAATGTCTCGTAATTTATGGTTGGGAAGGGTGTTTAGGTTTGGTTCCGGGCGACCTCTGTCTTGAATTCGAGGCGTTTCCTTCTGCACCTGTTCTTTGTGGCAGTTTCGGGGTTTTGTACTCAGCACATTTGATGGATCAGAACAGCATGTTCAGCAGCTACGAATCGAAGTTTCTCGCGAGAGAATCTCCTTCACACTGCCTGATCGCACGAAAACGCGGAGTCAAGGACACCAAGATGTTCGAAAGTCTTGCAGCCCTTTGCTTGAAGCCTGAGCTTTGAGTCTCAACCCTCAAAGCTTGAAGTGACTGACTTAAGAGGGCAGCATCGGGATGTGGCGCAAAAAGCCTTCCGAGTCCGACCATTCGACAGTGCTTTGACGAGTTCATGGACTGCGGGAAGAAGATGATAATGTCAGTGCTAAGAATACAAAAGCAAGCAACCTGGTGGAGTGCTGGATCAGGCGCGAGCTGCTAAAATGGGCTTCGGTTCTGGGCTCAGCAGGCCTTGATTCCGGATCCGTCAATGCGCGTGCGGCACGACACAAGGCCCCCTTTTCCACTTCCGGCCGTGCCGCTTCCTTGGATGCAGCACGTGGGGCGGCTCTCTGTGCGCAGCTCTGTCAGACGTGACCTGGCGTAGGCAGTTGGGACTGGTGGAATTTCAGTGCTGTGACATTTGTGCTCTGAACTTGTCGCTCCACACCAGTTCAGGCACCCGGTTGCCCCTGAGCGCCGGGACGCAGGCGTTGCGGAACATGCGTTGGTGAATGCAACTAATTGTTTGGGCCAGACAACTTGAAATCGAAAGATCCATGACGATCCCGGACTGGCGGACTCTCAAGCGCAAGCGCGCAGAAAGCCATGCAAAGTAGGCTTTTGTGGGACTTGGCTTGGAACCCCTGCACAGGTGACCGTGCCATCTTTCGAAGGCTCCAGCGCCCTGTGCAGCAAGCACTGCAAGGTCCAGATCACATGAAATCGCCGAGCTCTTGAAACAAGTTCATACTCATCTTCCTGCAGCTTTGCTGGGTGCCTGGCGGCCGCCCGTGTTTCGGCAGCGTCACCTCCAGACCTCGCCCAACCTTGCAGAAAGGCGCCGGTAGAGAGGGCTTAAGAGCTTCCGGTTCGATGGTCAGTCTAGTCAGTGGAACTGCGTTGCCCTTGGGCAGCTTTAAGCTGCAGCAGAAGTAGTGGATTAGTTGCATGGCTTGGTTTTGTTGTTGCTTTCCGGATTCGCGCAGCATCAGTTTATGTGGGCAATGCGGCAAGGCAGATTCAGCGCGCTAACGAACATCAGTCTCTGTCATCACTGTTTGAAAGTTCGAACAAGCTCAATGGAAGGTTCAGACGCATGTTGCAAGAGGAAATCTCCGTCCCACCCCTTGTCTTGTCCAGGGGGAAAGTCTGTCTGTTGGTAGCGACAGGAGACGGCACCGACTCTACACGTGGTGAGGAAAGGCTCCAAAAGACATCAGCGACGAACAGGTCAACTAACTGCTCTGCAACCGGCTTTGAGCCACGGTCTCTCACCAGATCTTGTTTCTCGTAAAGCGACGATCTCTATTGATCGTGCTCACAATGCACACCTAAACACACGGCACACCTAAACCTGCCTCAAGAAGGAAAAGGTTGGATCTTCAGTCGCGAGTTCCTGCAGCTTCGTGCCAGGCAAGAGGTGCTGCGCCTGGTAGCGGCCATTGATGAAGGCACAGCCTTGGCCGGACTAGAGCCTTCGGCCAGCAGACTTGATATCTGCAAGGCTTCGGGCGAGAGCTGCTTGCCGAGCTCCGGATTGTCGCAGCGACCCAGCACGCTCTACCAAGTAGCGAAGATGGGGCTAAGATATGCACAAGTCATGACGGCAGGCATAGAGGTGGGATGAGTTGCCCGCAGGGCCTCGCTACCCTGGATCAAGCGGGCTTTGGTCGCACTCACCTTTGCTCTGCGGCGGCGTGGTTGCAAGGAAGCAAGCCAAGTTCTCCAGGATGGCTCCCAGCCGTCACATGCTCACAGCACACCACGGTGCCGAGAGAAGCCACTGGTGCACTGCAAATTACCAGACCAACTTACAGTCGCTAAGGCCGAAGACTTGCCACTACCGTTTTTGCACTATCACTACGGGTCTGGAAATTGATGAAGACGCAATAGATTGCGTCAATGCGGCAAAAAAATAGTGATTTTGCGGTGGCCAGCATTGGTGGTTACCAATCACGGTGACCAGCGGGTTTGGTGATTGCTAAAAAGTCAAAGACTGTCATCCTAAAGATGATTAGAACATGTCAATCTCTGCATTTCATGCCCCGGGCTACAAGCAACGCTGACAGATTCTTCATCGTCTGAAAACCCACCCTCGCACCACGGAAACACTTGGTGAAGTCTTGTCTTTGGCTTACTTGGCCTCTGGCCATATTCTCACGGCAAAACGCAACTACGTCAGGATGATGAGCCCTGAAGTCATGAACCGTTGCCAAGGCATGGATCATGCATGCGGTCTTCCCTGCATGTATCAAAGTTAGTTCGCACTCATGGTTGGCTGGATGATGTTGATGGTGACGAAAATGAATTCAAGGGTTCCGAATAGGCCAGACAAATGGAATGGCATACGCAACAGAATGAGATGATCCGTCACGGGTATGGTTTCTGCACTTCGCTACGACAGACACAAATTTAGCATGAAAGTATCGTGGAGATGAACGAAGACGCAAACGTTTCCCGCAGCTGTCCATGCCAGGGCCCCGAGCCGATACATGCAGGTACGCAACAGAATGAGATGATCTGTCACAGGTATGGTCTTTGCCCTTCAAAACGACAGACACATACAGACACAAAGGAATGATGTAGCCAGAAGTAAGATAAAAAGAAAATGATATGAGGCTCCCATGATGGGGGGAGCGATGCAGGTACGTTTAGCAGGTTAGCTTGTTGGACGGAGCTTCCCCACACCCCCTCTGTCCCCCTGTGACTTGCGCTTCGGAGCTCATTAGCATTTTCGCGCGTTAGACCTTTAACGCAGAACGCATATTTGCACAAAGGTCGGAATAGGGAAGAGTGGTCGAATAAATTCGCGAGACAGACTAGCGAGGTAGATGCGGTACAGTCCACTGTAGATTTACCAGGTGCGCATGAGCTCTTGCCGGTCTCATGTAGCAAACAGAAGGCACTTTGGGCCTCGCATCGCGTGGCTGCCCCCCTTGCTGTGGGTTTCTGGGGCTGTGTGTGAACTGCCCTCGTTCATAGGCCTTCGGGGGTCACGCCCTCGCCTCATTTGTCATCCCGCAGAAGATGGATGGAAGTGGTGTAAGGGAGCTCTGTCCAAGGAAGCTCTCACCTGCATCGCTCGCCCATGGATCCCTGCGGGGATAGCTTGGACTTCCACAGAGTCCCCTCGGAGGCCAAGGTGTCTGACGCCGTCTCCAGGGGAGACGACTCTCGCGCCAGGAAGGAAGGTTGGACACGGGTGGCCACCCCCGTGGACGATATCATGGAGGCCTTCGCCAGGGCGGCCGTCGACATCGACTTCGCCTGCCATGGGGCCCCTGAACGCCTGCTCGACTTGGCTTTGTGGTAGGTGCCGACGCCGAGTGCGGGCGCAGAAGTGCGCAGCCCCGGCACCGTAGTTTTGCGGCCGTGCGCCTGGCCGGGCGCGCGACTGCGCTACGACCAAAAAGGCGCTACTGCACCGCCGTTGAATTTTGGCTAACTAGATCGTTAGCGCCGAGCTTGTACTTCGGAGCTCATTCGCATTTTGCCGCGTTAGACCTTTACTATAGACAGAACCTAGCAGTACATGCTAGCTAGCAGCACTAGACCCTTACCGTGTCAGATGCATATGCGGATTTGTGCAGATGCACTCCTACTCAAAGGTCGGAGTAGGAAAGCGTGGTCGAATAAAGAGGCGAAACTCCACTGTAGATTTTCCAGGTGCACATGCCCTCCTGCCGGTCCCATGAAGCAATGAGCAGGTACCTTGGGCCTCGCATCGGGTGGCAATAAAACTTGTAGCTGAAAGAGGTTGAAGGCAGAGAGGAAGAATCAAAACCCTTGTGGCAGAAACAAAAACGGATCTCCCTCATCGAGGGCTGCCTCAATCGAGACTACAGACTACCAAGGCGCCATGACGGAAAGCCGTTGTCAACACACTTTCTTCAAGCTTAATCGCTCTCATGGTTGAAAATAAAGCAAAATGATGTTGATGATGATGAGGTAAACAAGGATGAGATGAGAATTTTGTTGGTACCAAATACGCCTGACATGAGGGAATGGCACACAAAACGGCACAAAACAAAGTGAGATGATCCGTGAGTCGGTATGGTTTCGGCCCGTCGTTACACCAGACGCAAAGGAATGACGTAGCACCAAGTGAGATGAGGATGAAAGTGACATGAGGATCCCCAAGCTATCCCTGCAGGGATCCATGGGCGAGCGATGCAAGTACGTTTCCTTCGGGTGTAGGTGAAAGCTTGGTTGGACAGAGCTTCCTTACATCTCCTCCGTCGCCTTTCTGCCACATGACAAATGAGGTGTACAGGGGCGTGACCCCCGTTTGCCTATGAACGAGGGCAGTTCAAAAACAAACACACACACACAAACCAATACGCAAGATAGGCGTCGTTTGTAGTCGGTGCAGTTTCGTTTTTGGGATATGAGATGTGAGCATAAGTAGATGCATGCAACCCTTGCAGCCATGTCAATGTAATGGCATAATATGTGGAGAAGTATGTGGACGGACGCATCGTTACCTCTTTGCCAAGTTCCTTCGGTGGTGCTGATGGAAGAAAGCGTCTGCCAGAGGCAGGCATCGTGTTCGTGGAATTGTGTTTTTCTTGTCGTGTCAGACTCCGCGCAGCCTCTATGCTATAAATGCAGAAAGATTCGATGCCATGCTCTGACGAGGCACCTTCCTCTCCATTGGGATCCGTTTGGCTCCGTCCTTACATGCAACGAGCGGCGCAACGGCAACGGAGAGTGTCCGCGTCAGCATGCAACACTGCCAGGCTCGAGGGAGATCTTCGCGGGCGAGCGTTTGAGGCCTTCGAGCATTGGCGTGGGATTTCGCTGCAAATTCTGAAGATGAGGTGAGCTTTCCAGGACAGCTTGAAGCTCGAGGAATTCCGACATCCATGCGTGAACTGGCGGGCCGAGCTGCGAGAGGCTCCAAAACCAAGCTTTCGTGTACCCTGACACTGAATTAACTGAATTAGCTTGAGTGACGTATGATGACGTATGTGTCCGACCGGTGCTCGTTATGTCCAACTTCAATGCATCCTGAGCAGCAAACTTGCCAGGCCTCTGCCTGGCTAGACCAGCAAAGTCTTTCGAAGCTTGAGAGCAGCATGTGCACTGCACAGGCTTAGCCATGTAGCGCATCGCAAATGCTGGTCCTGTCAGCCGAGCTTTTGGGACCAGGCACTTGGTAGCCACATGATCTGAACATATGTAGGTGCACCGACACACATTGCACACATCTGCAAACTGAATCGCTTGACGTAAGAGCAAGACTCCATTCCAGAATTTAGACTCTGTCGAGCCCAACTCTTCAACCTACAGTCGCAGCCGCAAGCCAATTGCCTGAGTTGCAACCAGGAGGCTGGGAGGCTTGCTAAGAGGAACAGATGTGTGGAAAAAGACAGCACGCAAGGCTGCGATGCTTCTATTCCGGGCACAGTCGATGGCACTCGCTGCGAGGCTGGATCGGTCTGTGATTGACGCAGCAAGTTAGGGTCCTCAGGGTTGCATGTGCTTAGGTTCCTTTGTTAATCCACAGGCCCTTACGTTTGGGAGGAAGGCATGGAATCCTTTGATATCCTTTGCTCATGATCTACTGTGCTGGTGCAAAAGTCAGATCTCGCTGTGCTCCAGTCCTTTTGCAACCATTCGTGGAAGGCGAGCGCCAATCAGAATGATGGTGCCGCGACTGCCACCTTCGCAGGCTGCATGGGTAAGCCTGAAGAATCGACGAATGCAGGGCTTCGGCTCGCTCAGCAGTCTCGGAGGCTCTCTTCGGCATGCCTGTGCGCTGTTTCAGTGTGATCCGACCTGGTTTACATCGGCTTCTCTCAGTCTGCTGCTTAAAGCAACAGTGTCATGTGGTTGTAGGCGGTTGGCGGGTTGGAGTCAACAACTTTATCGTCTTCAAGCAGGTTCGTTGATTGATTTTGAAAAGTACACCGGCTGTGAAGATGACTGCCGAAGTGTTAGTTAGGCCTGACATGGCATGGCTGCTCCATGCATGTTTCATGTCCATGGCAGGAGAAGGTCACGGGTGGACACCCGGAGTTTCAAGACAAGACCATGAACGAGGCGGTGGACCTGTCCGACCAGCCATTTCCTTCCGACCGGCTCTCATGCCAAACCCGATACACAAGGCAGCGTAAGCCATGAGATGGCAGCAGATGAGCATAAAACAAAGCCCTGTCTGTCATGGACAATCATGTTTTCCTGTCCCAAAGTTGCTGTGGACTGTTCTAAATCCTTAGTTTGGTGCTGATTTTTGGCACAGCGGCTTCAAGCTCCGAGTTCAAACCAGGCTGCCAGAGCCCGGCAGCCACGGGCGCCGATTCTGGCCGGGGACTCGGCTGGCCCGAATCGAGGGTATTTGCTCAAGCTTCTGTGCTCCCAAGATCGTTTCGGCGATGTGCGTGGTATTGATGCCCGGGTCTCAGCAGTTGCAAGTGATTTGCATGAGCGCGGGTATGTTCCGCAGGTTCTGGTGGGCACCGGCATTATTTTCTGCGGTTGCCTTGGGCAGTGTGCTTGGTGAGGATTCCACTCACAAGGCGGAGCTTAGCTGCAAACATGAGGTAAACTCGCGAAGTACTTGCTTGTTCTCAGCCTCTGAAGTGTAATTAGTACCACGTCGGCATCTGAGATAGGTTGATGCTTTACGTTGCGTTCTGATCAAACTACATTCGTATTGCCTGCACTCGTGACTGTGGTTGTAGTTGTTGAGGTCTGAAGTGTTCGATTGTTATGGCCGGGGTGGTCATCCATTGTTTGCCATGGCCCGCTCTGTCTGTTTTGGGATGGGGCCACAAGCCCCTTCCTGTCACACAGGTTGTGACTTTGACAACACAAGTTTCGAAACACATGCTGCCACAGCGAATCTCACAGTCTTATGAATTGTCTTGCGGCTAAGGTGATAAAGCATTCAGGCTCCGGTGCCGAGACGCGGAGGTTTTAGTTAGGGTTGCCTCGTCTCGATCATCGTAGCACTTTTAGGCATTCTTCTGATAGTTGATAGTACTGGCCACAAATAGATCGTTGCGAAGCCACAGAAGTGTCGTTTTGAACACGCACATTGTGCGATGTCAAGCAGCCCGGCAGCAGCCCCACAGCAGCCCCAGCAAGCTTTCACAACAAAGCGCTGCAGGCCACGCGGGGTGTTCGTTATCCGAACTGTGTTTGCATTCATCGTTGCGTTTTTTGCGCACTGGGGGCTCGCTGAGCACGTTCATTCTGTTGGGGGAAATGCTCATGGGATCTAATGGGATCTAGTGATGCAGGCATTGATTTCTCTGCAGTGGGGAGGCCGAGTCGGCCGAGTCTGTTTCAGGCTTTTGCTGTCGGTGGTCAAAGCGAGCGGGGTGACACGAAGCGGGAGCAGATGAAGCGCGAGTATGCGGCCCTGGCCTTACGAAAGACCAATCAATAGGGGGGTCTGAGCTTGATCTAGTTAATCTAGTTCTGTGAGGAGCGCCAGGCGCGGGAGCAAGCCAACAAGTGAGGGAAGGGCATGCAGGCATTGCATGTGCACAGGATGTCTCACCGCGTTCGTAGCTCCGCCGGCACCACATCCACCTACATCGACTTTGCCAGAAGCTGCTTACTTTTCTGATTTCGGCTGTGGCAGTTCCTGGACGGCCCACGTTTCAGATGTCTGTCCTGCGTCCGTCTCCCTCTAGTCCTACAAGGATATGGCTATGGAAGAGCAGAGGGAAGCCAGTGGCCACATGGCTACCATCAAGATGTGTCAGAGCAATTACAGACGATGCTACTGTGCACACACCCACCCAGAACTGCACAAAACCCTTGTTGATTGATTGCTACTGGGGCAGCCGAGCCTTGCGCCTTGCTGCCTCACCGTCGGCGGAGTGTATGGCGGGATCTCATGCCCGGCCATGGCTGTGACCCAAGAGAAGAGAATTGTTGCTTTGAATGTTGGGCCGGCGAAGAGATGCGAGATGCTTCTTCGTACCAAAGACATCTAAGACCGCCAGAGCCGTAGCCGCTCGGCCTCCGGCCGTGCCCTCATGTCTTGGGCATGGAGTCCAGAAGGTTGTGCCAGTTTTGGCATAGGTGCATGCTTTGCGAACTTTACCGGGAGGTGTCCATTTAGTTTCTGCAGCTTGGCAGGCCGTCGCCGAAGAAGACGACGAGGAAGGAATCCCAGGCAACAGAAGCATGCATTTGCAGCCTTCGCAGGGTTAGCCACACCTGTCGCGAGGAGCTTCGGGACCACGTAGTTATATGCTTGCTTGGACGAGAGTTACGGAAAGCTTTTCAGCAACATGGCTGCCTGAAAGAGGCTAAACTTCGGACGCTACAGCGGGATGAGCTACAGGGAGGTCGGTCGATGATGCAGCTTTGTAGTCGGTGCATGCCATTTTTACTTCTCAGCATTTCTTAGAAGCATTCCCTCACTTGTCGTCGGCAGGTGGCTCTCAATCATCCAAGCTATGTCCGCTGGGCAGAGCCGGCACTGGTTCCGTTGTTTGCTGATGTCTACCCGTCAACGAACGGCAACGTTTTACCAGGCCCTAAGCCAGCCAAGTCCGACAGTGTGCGGCTGAGACTATTGGTCTGACAAACAGCATGTGAATGGAGCTGCAAGCATCTTTGGATCTGCTGTGTCATCAAGCATCTGTTGCCACCAGACCACCAAAAGCTTTCGACTGATGACATCTGTGCTTTAAATTTGACACCCTGAGCATTTGCGCATTGTTCGGCGCACGTGCATGTGATTTCTTTTCGTGACGGCAAGAGTAGTCTGATACTGCAGCTGGTGCTCCAGCTGCGATCAGTGATCGTGTGCTGACCAGAAGGTGTTTAAAGCTATGTCCCATGTCGACATAAGCTCACACGCTTGCAGCAAAATGGTAATGATGCTGTGGTGCGAGGGTGGACTTCGATCGTTTGTGGCCTGGCTGCGGGCTCATCCTCCTGATGCCGCGAGGTGCGGCAGTCCGATCTCAGTGCATCGATGCATTTTGTATCCATGGAGATATGGTAAAATGTACGATAGTGTACGTATGGTTCAAACGTACAGCATGTGTGCACGCATCCGTGCCCGCACCCGCGGTCGTGTGGGGACGTGCACGCACACCTGTAAACACACACAGACATCTTCCCATTCCCATACCTGGTAAGATGGCTGATGTGAGGTTTGGCTCCCACCTTGAAGGAGTCCATTCCTGCATTGTGCTAGCATAATGGCATTACTGGCTAATGATCCCCACTTCATTATTCCTTTGGTCCTTTGACGAGCACGCGATATCCAGGACGTATGTGAACATCTTCAGTGGATGTGATGCTGCTTTCTATGTTCAGCCTTGTGACGGTTTATTCACATGGCATCAGCGTGTCCCTTGGACCTCTTTGGCTTGGAAATGAAGGCTGTGTCAGTCGTCAGTTTTTCCCTTTGGGAAGCATTGCTCTCACGCAATCGTCTAGGCTAGAAGTGTTAAGCCGCGGCTGACGGCTGAAGCTTGGCCTTAGGAAGTTGGGCCAGTTGGGTTATTGGAAATTTGGATTTACGATTTGTAGGCTTTGGGCATGCCAGGGTGTATAGGTGTCAGTCTCGTTTTCAGGGTATGTAGAATATTACAGCTTTGGGACGTAGAGTTCTGTGGGTTGTGCTGGTTTACCAGCCGTTGCTCCTTCTTGCGTTCTGCGATCGCCAGCGATTCCAGCTCAGGTCCAGGCCTCGCTAGTGAGCTAACTCTCTCCGGGCTTTCCGTGCTGCAGACTCTGTGCATAGGGGTCTCCGTCAAAGTTTTGAGACTTGCTGGCTATTGATCAACCTTCGGACAACTCGCCCGGCTCATCCACGTGGTTTCGCCTTTGCCTTTCTGAGTACTGTCCATACTGGGCAGCCCTCATCCCTGTTTTGGCCAATCGAACTGCGACTAGGACATGCTTTGAGGATCTGTTCGGTGCCTCAGGGCCCCGGCTCCCTTGTTTCCTTGCGCCCTTCTTTGGACTTGCATTTTGAGCTGATTGTGACCGCTGCATGTCGCTGGAAAACGTCAAGCATTCGGGGATCCCACTTGTATCCCTGCAAGATAAAGTCTGAAGCACATTTGTGAATTCAGCAGACAAGCTTCTAGCGGCTGCCACAACCCATTACCGCAAGCAGGCTGGATCGACAGCTTCCAATACTTTTCCATGCCTTGCCGCCTTTCTGCCAATCTTCGTGATGAGTGCATGTCCTTGGTAATGTCTTCATATGCCAGCAACTGATAAGACAAAGTCCACATGTACCTGCCATCGCTACAAGTATGATCCAAATGCTGAGTTCTACACGAAGCTGACACATTTCGGTGTGGAAGGCCCGCACAAAGAACCGGCAACAACTTTCGCTGCAAGGGCATCAGAGCACATCTGCTTATTCCACTGTTCGGAATCAAGTCTTTTTTGGGTGCTACTTTGCTTTTGTCTCGGAGCAGGGATGAGGTTTCTTCTGTCAACTATGCGAGCTCCGCTTCAGAGGACAGCGCCATCCCCAGGATTGTTTCGTGGTGCTTTTCCACTGCAATCGTGCAGCTGCAAGCCCGTCCTTGTGTAAACCGGCCGGCGGTAGCAGGCAAAGCATCTACGCTTTTGCTGTATCTTGCAGTATCTTGCAGGTCAGCAACCGAAGGTGAGATGCAACGTTTTTCTAAGGTGAACTTGGGTCAGAACCTGACATCGATAGCGAAGCAGCCAGCGACGAGCCATCGATGCACGCCCAGGTGCTTCCATTTTGGAATCATAGCACTTCCAGCAGAGCTTGGCTGGATCAGTCAAGGTTTCATGCCAGTTTGCAGCCATTCAGGCGTTGCCTCTCCATCTGCCTATGGTCCAGCTCATGGAGCAGATGGTGCAGCATTCCGGAAGGTTGAGGCTCCGTCGTGCAACCGAAAGCATGCTCCCAACACGGCCGTGCTTGAGCCTCCTTGGATTGTAATTGCAGGGATCTGTCAAGACTGTGCGAGGCTGAGCAGCGCCCACCCCCCGTAGTCTGTTGTCGTACGACTAAGGGACATGTTTTCGCAGCATCTGCTCAGGATGCGTCAGAGTGTGGAGCGAAGGGGCGATGTGGCATTCTCGCACAGTCTTTCGGCCCTCCTGGTCAAGACCCCGGACACGTGTCTTGTCGTACAGTGCTCGCTTTGTGTCAATCTCTAGTCACTTCGGACTAAATCAGTCGGTTGGGTGCGGCCAAGGGGGAACTACCACGTGTGACCTACTCCGCGAGTGCGCTCCACTGTTCACATTCTTGTTGCTCGGATGTGCTTTGCAGTGCGCAGTTGTGCAGGCTTGTTCAGTGGAGCGCCCCATCCCCAAAGCTGCCAGTGTCTTAGACTGTAGCTGCAAAATGATGCATGTCCTCCTCGCGATGTCTGGTCGCGCTTTTCACAGGTCCCATTTGCATGGAGGACTTCGACGCTTGGGAAGCCGGACATGATTCCGAAATTGCCCTGGGCCCAGTAGCTTCTGTCTCGTGCACAGCAGTTGTGGCAATATGTGGCAATCTGTCTGATGAGCGTGATATGCCGGTGATGTTTCCAGGTCATGACTCCCTGCCTTCACACTTTCCACCTTGGCTGCCTCCGAGGTGGGCATCATGCACGTGCCATGATGTGCTGCCTGACTTGTCGTGTTGTCTATAGTGGCCCTTCAGCCAGGTTGGCTGAAGAGAAGCCGGACACCAAGCAATGCATGTCGAGTAGGACCTCAGGATCGCATGATCGCTTCAGTGTTGAGCTTCATCTTCATTCAGTTCTTTCCCCGCTCAAAGTTGGCAGATTTCGGATGCATCAAGGTCCAGAGTGCCCGACGTGTAGATGGGACATTACAGACTTGGGTGCTGACAAGGCAGCGCATGATTCCAAACGTTGCTTGCAACAGACTTTTACTGGTGTGTGCAGTACGTGGAAGCTGCTTCGCAAAGTGTGCTAATCAACTTCCCAAGTCAATGGAACAAGTGTAGCATATGTGTTCTTCCGCTGACAGCCAGGCGCTCGATTCCAGCTGTGCATCTGGCAATGTTGTCAACAGAATGCCTTCTGGCAACTGTAGTTTACCGAGTTCGGCAAGCACGGCTGAGACGCAGCAGCTGTTCAGACAACTTCAACTGCGTACGCACATCCTCAAATGACAGGTGTTGATCTTCCACAGACTCGTCCTGATGTGTCGTTTGCCCGGCATGCCAGTGCTACAGAGCTCCCAGCATTCCATGATTCCAGAAGAGCTGTCCGCAGGCCCCGAGATTTGGAGATCGTAGTGCCAGGGTCTTTGCTGACGTCTGCTGGTCTGTAACCTGTGCCCAAGAGACTGAGACTGAGGTCTGACGATGAGTAAGTCCGAGGTGCAAGAGTCTTGAGCAAGGGCGGTGTCAGCACGAAGTCGTTTCGTGGATGATTTCACCTTTTCCCACACAAAGATGTGTGCCACACTTCAAAGCGGAAGTGCCAGTCGGGTTTAGACCTTCTCTGGTCCCTGTGTGGGACAACTCCACAGTGTCTAGCCTTCGAAACAGTGTTGTCAGAGGCATTCAGTGGGACAGGTATGCCGTGCTTCTGGAAGTTTCAAGTTGAGTTCCGCTGTGGTTGCGAAGCCTGTGAAGACGGGTGGTAGCTTCTGCGTAGCGGCTGAACTTGCTATCCGGGCCCGGGGAAGGGCAAAAAGCACCATGACGTGATGCTGGAAGTGATTCGCTCTCGTGGCTGACGGTCAATGTTGCTCATGCAGTGAGGAGTCTACGCCAAGAGTTTTACATCCGCCCAGGCAGAGCCATAGCTCCCACAGCTGATGCGATAATATGAGAATCGCAATTCTGCAGATCGCAATTCTGCAGCCGCAGCATAGCTCCTGAACTCTGAGGCTGCTTAGGGCCGATGAAAGCCTGTGGTTCACTGAGCAGACCCAGCATACCTTGACCAAGACCTGCGATTTACGTTTTCGACGAACCTGCGCAGCCATCCGTCCTTGCGGCACAGCTTCCTACGTCCTGCTCCGATCTCAGCTGCTGCTCAGAGATCTCTGTCGTCTGTGGAGCCATCAGCACAAAGGGTACAGGAAAACGCTGCATGGCGGGCCTGTGGGGAGCTTTTGAACTTCGGGCTTTGTGATGTTGCATGGCCGAGGCCTGTTTGGCATCGCGGGACTTCTTGCGTTGGGCCATGGTACCCCATGTGCATTACATTCTGAGAGGATTCATTTCTGAACGCCTGGTGATCTAGTGGTCATCGCAAGCCGAGCATGTCGTCGGTGAAAGGCTGCAGCCCATCGTCGGAGACACCGTCAGGCCTGTAGCCAAGTTCACCATCTTGTCAGTTGCAGAGTTGCACAGAGTTGCAGGTGTCATGCTGAAAAGCATCAATGCGGCCAGTGCTGGCTCGGTGCTTCAGGGTATCAGGCGCAGTCTGGTTAGGGACGAAATTGGGCTGAGCACCGGTGACCGACCCGAGACAGGGGGTGTGCACATGAGGGCATGAGCAATGAGACCGGCCTGGATGGAAGCGCACGGGGGCGACAGCATCTGCGTGTATTAAAGCAAGCCGTGGGTGGCTGGGTGAGTGGGTGCAAATGAACTTTCGAAGTCTATTTAACGGCCCACCAGCAACAGCCACCTCCAGAGACAGTCGAAGCCGCAGCACAGGTCCGTTTGCGCGAGACTGTGCCCCCTGTGCGACCTGCGGGTGCAAAATGAAAACGTGTCGCCAAGGCGAGGTGGTGGAAAGGTTCAAACGTTGAGAAATGTGTCTGAGGACGACAGGCTGTCGCGCACTCCCAACCTCCAGGTCTCCAGTTTGTGCTTCCGAATGGACCTGGCTTCTGCGTCCGCCTCCAGCAGTGTCATTCATTCTAATGTTGATGCCAGAATGGGCTTCACTCTGTCCCAGAAGGAGACTCAGGCCAGCAAGCAGGCGTCACAACAATTTCACCGTTGAAGGCATTCCTGCTGCAGTAGTGTTGCTTGAAGCAAGATCGTCGCAGGGATATCTACCCGGCCAATGTGTACATGGCGCGAGCGTCGAGGAGGAACTGCCGTTGACTTGGCATTGAACATGTTGTCGGCGCCTGGCATATGCCGGGCGGGGTGAGAAACCAGGCTTTTTTAGCTTGGCAGTGCATTCCTCTTGCCGATCTGAGGGCGAGCGGGAAGCGCCTTTTGGAGGTGGGCAAACGGGCTTTTTGTTTTTTTTTGAATTTGCTTCTTTGTCCTCTTTGCCTCAGGAATACTCCGTCGGCGAAGCCATTGGCGAAGGAGCCTTCGGTGTAGTTTATGCCATGATCTGAGAGCTGGTCGGCCGGTCCTGATTTATTTCTGGTACGAGCAGAAGCGCTTGCACAAAGTGTTGCACATTCAAGAATGAGGCGTGCGCACATCGGAAGACGAGCATGCAGGCACGGACCCGGTGCCGAAGTTCCTGGGCTTGTCACGATGTGACAGACTAGTAATAGACCGGTGATGATGGCAGGCCGCAGTAAAGATGGTGGACAAGGCTCGCTCTTGTGGAATGTTCCTGCTACACGAGTGTAGTGCTCAGTGATTTCAGTTTCACAGGTTGAGACACCGACGGCCGTGATACGCAGAGAAGCAGAACTGATGAAGGCAGAAAGTTCTGACAGATTGATGATCGCACTATAAACTGCTTTCAGCATGGGGCATCGGCCCAGCCTGCGCCAGTCCCTCTCACACGACAACATCGTTCGCTTCCATGCCGTGTACTTCGAGAGGCGTTTCAGTCCTGCCTGGCTGCGTGAACACATGTTTTTTTTGTATATGGTTGTGCACGTGTGCATCAAGTGACAAAACCCGTCCGACGATGTTACCTCTCGAGTTTTGCCTGTTAGTGCGGCAGCAGCTTCAAAAGTTAGCCTCCTTGCGCAGCCATGGCTGGAGCTGACGCCACGGGCGCCCCGTTCGACGAGCACAGTTGGGGACAGGCTCATCCGACAGACGGGGGTGATGGCCCTGGCAGTGGAGGCGTCGAGTCCCGGTCGGGACCTTCTGCAGCGGCGGTGCGGACAGCCGTTCGTGTCCTGTCCGACGCCAGTGAAGACCAGGTGATGGACGTGCTCGAGGAGGTCCGCCTCAAGGCGAGAGCCAAGCTCGCTGCTTTGTTCGCGCAGTCGGTAGCGGAAGGGCACTTCGTGTTGGACTACTGAGTCCGTGTATGGTGAGATGCCCCAAATGTGGCCAGCGGTCCTGTGGAAGGGTGAACCACCGGGGGCACAGAAGAGCCCACTCTCGGCACCTATATGGCGTTTGCAAGGCGAACACCCGCTGAGGACGCGTTCGACCAGGCCCACTGCACCGACGACGCGATCGGGCTAGCACAAGGACCGCACAGCAGTCTCTCTTCCAGTTCGGTGCCGTCAGGACTCTGTTTTGCACCGCCTTTTCCTGCAAAACCCGTTAGTGCGAGTGCGGGGGTTTCGTTCAGATTCGGGGTTTGGGTTGGTCTTTTCCTGTTCCGGGACTGCGTGGTTCTGTCGTGCCCTCAGAGCGAGCCAGGGCAGGACCGACCGCCTTGTCAGCATGAGTGGGGTAGGGGAGAGCTAGCAGACGGCACATGCGTGGTGTGTTGTGCACATGTTCGTTTGTGGTGCAGCGCGGCAGCGCAGTTCGTCCCGGCAGGGTTTTCATTGTCAAGCAATCGTGTTAAGCAGCGCTGTTCAGTTCGGTCATGGCCGATCGCGCAGCCAGCGGCGACAGCCACACCTTTGCGTCTCTGGTCCAGGTCGTCCTCTCGGTCGGGACAGCTGATAAGCTCGAAGACCTGCGAGCGGCAGCCGTTAAGTCGGCAGCACAGTTGTCAGCAGCCCCCCGGTCGCAGCTACGAGCATTGTTGGGGGACGTTGTTCTCGACAGACTTCTGCAGCCACCGGGCACGGGAAAGGGCCGTGGCTCGGTCAAGGGTCGACATGACCTGCCGGTAGTACACCCCTATGCTTGGGGATCAATGCAACGTGTGTCGTTAGAGGGTCAGGAGGGCTCGTTCGGAGCAGTTGACGATGCTTTTGTGGAGGACCGCTACGCCAAGACATCCCGCGCACCCATCGAGTCACGATGGAAGACATGGCAAAGGTTGTGTGCAGCCCGTTCCCTGGACCCTTTGCCGCTGACTCAAAAGAAGATTTTCAAGGTTGGGGCTCTTTTGAAAGAGGGCAAATATCGCTCTTGCCAAGCCGCGCCACAGGGAAGCCGAGTACCCGTGGACAGACGCTCTTGATCTGGCAGTGCAGCAGGCCGTTCAATCAGCCGTGGCCTCGGGCCGTCCCGGCCGAAGCGCGATTTGTTCGTTGACCGAGCCCCTTCAGACCTCGACTCTCAGCTTCATGCTGCTTATGCTCGGTTGCAGGTGCCCCCCGAGCACCAGTTCGCCGGCCTCGGATCCACGATCCCTGAAGAAGGCACCTGGAGCTTGTGCTCCGCTGCCAATGCAGCAGAAGTACACAGTACAGCGATCGGGCTCAACGGAAGTCTTAAGCGCTCGCAGCACTTCTTTTCCGGATGGACCTCACAGATCCAGGTGCGCAGCCTATGGCTGGGAATCGGCTCACAAAAGGGGCCCCTTCTTGACAGTAAGAGGGCCACAGGTTTCACAAGTGATCGGCTGACACAAGCATACGAAACAGATCCTGTTGCATCCTTGCTCTGGGATCCGCGTGAGCCGACGCAACCAGTGTTGTCAGGACCGGCTCACGACCCGTTCGAACACTTGCAGTGGGCTCTGGACTTGGACTTTCTTGCCCTTTTTCCCGTTACGCTGAACCCCTGTCTCAAGTGGTGTTACGACACCCAGCCTCTGTTCGAAGGAAAGCTCCCAGCGTGGCGGCAGGCAGTCTGTGACGACCTCTTCTCCTGGTCGAGGAGTTGCGCGAGGAACAAGAGTCGTGGTTAGCCTCAGCCCCGGCCCACGTTCGTCAGGTTTACTGTCGCGGTCAAGACGTGATTCAGGTACACCTTTTCGCGTTGACTTGGCTTTTGGACTTGCTGCAGTTCCCAGGTCGCCGAGCACTGGTAACCGAGTTGTTTGGGGGCTTCCCGTTGCTTGGCCCCTTGTCGCCAGGCACATGCTGGGCTCCAAGGTCAGACTTCAAGTACTCTCGTCCGTTATAGCCCCACTTGAGTTCCGGTCCGCCAACAGGGGGCACGTCAAAGAGGTAGTCACGAGCCTCAAACCCAGCGAACACTCACAGACCATGTTCGAAGAGATCCTCGAGGAGTGCAAGTTAGGTCGTGTCACAGGCCCGTTCTCAGTGTCAAAGCTGCTCCTCGAGGACACCAGTTCGTGCGCCTCTCGTGCGTTCCGGGTCGTTCAGGCGGGAAAAGTTCGGCGTGCCGACGACTGGCTGCGCAGCAAGCATAACGCAACGGTATGGGTCACAGACTCGCCAGCGTATGCCAGACCCGATACGCTCGCAAGCTGCATCCAGTCAGCAGCACAAGACGTTGCTCAGCGCAGTGGATCACGAGGGGCATACAGAAGCCTCCCCGTTCGCACGCCCAGTGAGTGCGGAGTGATCCTCCCAGATCACGAGGATCGCTGCCTGTTCTTTCACAACAGCCTCCCGTTCGGAAGCACGGGGAGCGTCTGACTGTGTCGAAGAAGAGAGAGATCGTGATCGGGTCGCAGACGTGCTCTCGTTCCTAGCGGTGAGCCTCCTGCTAGTGCCTTCGGCTCACTTCGTCGACGACTTCCACCAGTCCGAAGGCGAGGACGTCGCTGAATCCGCTTTGAAAGTTTCAAGCGCTTTATATCGGACTCGGATTCAGGATGAAGGTGGCCAAGGAAAAGCGACCTTCCCGGTCGCACACCTTGTTAGGAGTGTTGTGGACAATCGTCCCAGAAGGCGTCTGGGCAAGCCCCGGCCCGGAGTGCGTACAGAAGCTGGTCGACACCCTGTCCGACTGTCTGCAGAAGGGCACGTGTTCTGGACCGCTTGCAGCCAGACTGGCCGGCAAACTTACGTTCGTGTGCTCCTGGGTCTTCGGAAGGGCCGGTCAGGCGCTCTTGAAGCCTTTGTACCGCAGACAGCACAGCGGACCGGCGTTGAAGCCGAGGTTTCTGCCACACGTTGCCAGGTCAGTGAACATGCGAGTGGCCAGGCTCTACGCAGACGCGTTCATCACCATGCATGGCCAGCGGAGATGCGCCATCAGATGGATGGACGACAGCACCGCCTTGCAGCAGCTGCGTGAGTCCACCAACGGATGGGGAGCCATTTACATCGGCCCGTCCGATCAGCCCTCGTGTTTCAGGGCACAGGTGCCCGAGCGAGTTCTGCAGCGCTGTTGCTCGCCCAGGAACTACATTTACTGGTTGGAAGCCATCGCTCAGATCATCTCCGTTGCGGTCGTGGCGAGAGACCAGTTCGACTGCATTGTGTGCTTTGTCGACAACAACGCCGCAGAGCACGCGCTCAACAAAGGCAACTTCGAAGAACCCGAGCCTTTGCTGGTTAATGGGTGCGTTTTGGGTTTGGGTTGCCCGTCAGAGTCTGTTCGTGAGCTTTCAGCGAGTGACTAGCCAGGCGAACCTGTCAGACAAGGTTTCGAGAGGAGACTTTTCCGAGGCAAGCCAGTTAGGTTGCGCCCGTTCGACGCCGCATGGCGACCGCTACTCCAACTACAAGAAGCTCCGGCAAGCTTGCAGTCGTGGGACTTCCAGGCCGTCGTGGACAGCCTGTTCGCCGAGCCACCGCACTCCGAGGTGGGGAGAGGCGCGCGGTGAGTGGTTTGTCAGAGCGCGCCGTTGAAAACGGTTCTGTTTTCTCCAAACCTGTTCGGTCCAAGACAGAACGCCAGCACAGTCGAGCAGGTCGAGGCGAGAAAAGAGAGTCTCGTTCGACTGCTCGTTCGTAAGCTTGTTAGCAGTACAGAGGAGCGAGGGTTTTGTCTGGTTGTGCACGTGTGCATCAAGTGACAAAACCCCTCCGACGATGTTACCTCTCGAGTTTTGCGTGTTAGTGCGGCAGCAGCTTCAAAAGTTCCCGCCTCACCCGCCCTGACGACTAAGTCTTACCAGCCGGTTTGTCAGAGCGCGCCGTTGAAAACGGTTCTGTTTGCTCCAAACCTGTTCGGTCCAAGACAGAACGCCAGCACAGTCGAGCAGGTCGAGGCGAGAAAAGAAAGTCTCGTTCGACTGCTCGTTCGTAAGCTTATTAGCAGTACAGAGGAGCGAGGGTTTTGTCTGTGTGTGTCCGCATGTGCATCACGCATGTGCGTCTCTGCGTGTGTCTGTGTGATGTCCTCGCATGGGCACAGGGAGGCTCTTGATTTTGGCAGTTTATCACAACAACTAGCATAGGTTGCACTTTCATAACATGTTGTCGGTTGCGGGTGCTGGCTGCGTGTTCCGTGATGCCAGCCACAGAAGCTAGCGGAACAGGTGGATGAATTAATGGAAGCATGGATTTGTACCTGCAGCACAAAGGTGGAAGGACACAATTCAGCAAGAAAGTCGGAGATTTTTCCGTGCATCTAAAGCAGTTTTCCGTTTAATATGCACGGTGAAGCACTCTGTCCATGCATGCAGAGAAATTTTCAGCAACAGGCAGGAACACAACGGCAGACAGCCGCATTACATGAGGCCTATAAATTGCATGAGGCCTGTGAACTGCAGAATGATCCGCCCTGGGGACGCGCCAAGCCCGCGCGAAGCGCGCGCGCCAAGCGCGTGCGCGAAGCCCGCGCGCATGCACGAAGCGCGCGAAGCGTGCGCGCGGAGCGCGCGCGC